GGTCGCCCTTTGCTCCCTGACCCCCCTGGCCGCCGCCGAGGCCGCCGCTTCCTGCTCGGGCGCCGCTCGGCGCTCCCGGCCCAGGGCGGAGCTCGCCGCCGAGTGCGCGCCTCCCCCGCCGGCCGGAGCGGGAGCCCGCGCGGGAGGAGGAGCCGCGCCGCGCCCTTCCCCTTCCTCCGCCCCGTCCGCCGGCCCCAGGCAGCACTCGCGAGCAGCGGCGCCGCGGCCGGCGGCCGAGTGGGGAGGATGCGGCGGCGCTCGCGGATGCTGCTCTGCTTCGCCTTCCTGTGGGTGCTGGGCATCGCCTACTACATGTACTCCGGGGGCGGCTCCGCGCTGACCGCCGGCGCGGGCGGCGGCGCCGGCAGGAAGGTGAGTGGGCGCCCGCCCGCGGCCCGGCCCCCCGAACCCTGGCTCCCGCCACCCCCGCGCCTGGCCCTCCCGGCGCCGACGCGCCCCCGGCCCCTCGCTCGGACGTGGCCGCTGGGCTCCGAAGGGGCTCCCCGCGCCGGGCCTCCCGCCGAGTCCCCGGGGCTGCGGGCGCACCGGCTCCTCCGCGCTCGCCGGGCTCGGGAGAGGGCCAGCCCGCGCAGCCCCGCGGTGCTGGGAACCGCGGACGCCTTTCTTGTCGCCCCCCTTCCTCCTCTGTAGACGTCCCCGCTCTGCTCCACATAATTAGAGTCTCGTCAGGCCGCCGGAGCCCCATCCCCTGCGGTGGGAAGTTTAGGGGTGCGGGTGTTGGGAAACACAAAAGGGGGTGAGGAGGAGGGGGGAGAGGCTGCCGCCTTTCCAGCGTGTCATGTGCAGCAGGAGAGAGGCGTCCAAGTTTCTTTTCAGCTCTTTGATACAAGCCGTTGCAGATCCTCCCCGCTCCCCCCGTGTCACCCCGCGTGGGGAAGGGGCGCCGCCAGTTCCGTGCCCGACGAAACGGCCTCCCCTGGGTCGGAGTAATCGGAGGCCATCGCGCCTCTGTGCCCCGAGAGAGGCCGCCACGGCCATGTCCCCGACCTTCCCCTCCCGGCCCCCGCGTGACACTCTGCGGGACTCGGCCCTGGCTCTCCCGCGCGCGCGGACTTGGTCTCCTGGGCTGGCCTTCACCAGCCCCGCTCCTCCGTTACACGGGCACAGACAGCCCCTCTGCTACGAGTGTGTTTTCGACAGGCCCAGTCCCTCTGCTACGAGTGTGTTTTCGACAGGCCCCCAGGGCCGAGTGATTAGGCCGTGGGGACCGTGTAAGGCTCTCTGGACGGCCCGGCGCTTCGGGAGGAAACTGAGGACAGCCACACAGCGCCGTCCTGGGCCGTGCGCCTGCTGGGCCAGGAGGGCTCTGGGCTGTGCACATGTCGCCCGCCGCTGTTTGTGGTGTTTGGTGGTTCATAGGCTTACAAAGCAACGTTATCTTTTCCGAAATCCTGTAACCCAATTCCCGTGACGTTTAGTGTCACCGCAAACCCAGGAAACTCTGAGTTAATGGAGGTGGACCATGGGTTGGGCTGGAACCAGGCAACGGTATCCCGGAACAAGCCAAACGGGTGGAACTGGGGATCAACAGACTAGCCTTAAAGTCAGACCTGTAAATGTCAGTGTTGAATTCCTGCCTCAGAGGTTTCCTTCCTTGCTTTATTCATTCGTTCATTCTTAGGCGAAGGTATTAGGTAGAGGTAGGTGCCTTGTTTGGTTCTTGGTAAGTTTCAGGGGTTTACTTTATCCAGGTGGGCAGAAATGCAAATATCTTTTCCATGTGCTGGATTGGCCTGGCTTGAGTCTTAGCTGACAGTGTACTGTTAGCCCCATTTCTTCTTCTTTTTTAATGCAGGGAACTGTTGTATGTGTACACGAAGTCCCCGTTTATTCTTGACTGGTCAAGAGCCAGTGCACCCAGGGGAAGCAGAGCAGCTGCTGCCACAGTGAAAACTGTGGGCATGTTAAACTGGAATTATTTTGAAACTGCTTCCCAGTAAGGTGGGTCCGCAAAGCTTGGTGTGCTGAGGAGACCTGGCAAAGCTTTCTGCCTTTCATGCACAAGAAAACAGAATGGATAAATCACGCTTGGTATTTCTTACCTTGGTTTGCCACTTTCACATGTGATCACACACAGCCACAGTGTGGCCTTAGCATCTGCAGAGGCTGGACTCCCCTGGGTGGGTGGGCTTCAGCTGGTGGGTGGTGCTTGAGGGGTCTTCTGTGTGTGATCCTTAGTTAAAAAAAAAAAAAATCCAAGAGCTCCTTGTGGCCTGGTGGCCATAGGAAGGTACAGAGACCATGTAGAAAAAAGTGTGGGAAAGGAATGGTTATACAATGATTGGTGATTTGGGATTCTATTCTTTCTGTCAACGAACCATAAAATTTAATCCTGGCTCTTAGAATGGTTTAGCGATTTGTGGGTTGAGGAAGAGGTGTGTAATGCAGTAGCTTTTGAAATTGCAGTAAGAGGACTCATTAACTTCGTGCAGTGGACCCTGCTGCAAAGGGGAAGTCCTGAGATTTTCTGGCTGGTGAATAGAACCGTGCTGCCCTGAGTTTCCTAATCTAGATTGTGAACCAGTGGACTTAGAGACTAGAAAGCCTCTTTAAATTTACTTTATCCTCATGATAAAAGGAAACATATAGGTTTTTTTTTTTAGCTTGTAAAGTGTGGACATAAACAGATAATATGGTATGCGTGGATGGGCCTAATTTAAACAGCAGCTATGGTGTTTTAGATGTAAGTGGACTTAGATTTCTTCTCTTGTTTCCTACTATTCAAGTCAAGGCTCTAAGCCCATATTTAGTTGTTTCTCTGCGCCCTGGCGTTTTTCACAGGCACCAGCCTTCAGTATTAGGCTTCGGGGCATTGTCTGTCTGATATTTCTGCTGCTTCAGCGCCCCAGCCCCGTTGGTTGCTGTGTGCCCTGCCTGTTAAATAACTCATCTCAGGACTGTTATTCTCCATTTGGCAAAACCCAGAAAGCCAGCTCAGACTGTGGATTTAGTAAACTAAGCAGGAGTGGGTGCTGAAGACCACCCTGGGCTGTGCTGCACCAGGACTCAAAGCCAGGTTCAGGGGGGTGTGGTCAATCAGTTATGCATCATGTTGTTTACAGTTCTGTTTCATTTATGTGTGTACAGAGCTCTCCACTTGCCACATTTTGCTCTTCCTCCAGTAAATTGATGATTTGCACTTTAAGGATGCCTTTTCGTTGAGCATCTTAAATGCTTTAGAATTTAATCATGGTTTGGCTCCCCTGGGCCTTGGTGTGTTAGCAGTTCGAGGAGCCTCAGAAGGGAGGAAGGGATTTCTGTTGACATGAACCTGCCTCTGGGTAAAGTGGGCTGTTTAGGATGGAAACAGAAGGGTTTCCAGCATGTGAAAAATGATCTCAAAGTGTGTCTGGCCTAAGCCCCGTCTGTGCTCCCTATGTCCTTGGGGGGGTCAAAGGAAGCCCTTGGGAGGTTAGAGGAAGCATTAGCTGGAGGACATGACCCAGGGCCCAAGCAGCCTGTTCACTTTCCAGCAGCCTTCCTCCGGGTGTCTCAGGGTGGGAGGAATTTGGACATTGGAGGTGTGTGTGTGTGGGCTCTTCCTGGAATGGTTGGGGCCTCACTGGCCAGAGCATGGTACATTAGGGTGTAAAATTGGAGGAGGAGTTTGGGACTAAGTTGTAGACGGCTTCAAATGCCAAACCAACTTCTTGGTCCTTAATTTGGTTGCTCATAGGGAACCAGTAATGTTATTTGAAGTGGGTAGTGGACATTCAAATGAAGGGGAACGTTGTAGATCCATTAATAGGCACTGAGTGAGAGTGATTTCCTACTCCTTTCTGCTTGGTGACCTTTGCTGATTTATAGAACCCCTCTGACCGTTTCCTCATCTTTACAGTGGGGATAATCATTTTTACCTTGTGGCCGAGAACTGAATGCCATTTGCAGGTTCTGGCAAATAGTAGGTGCTGAATAAATGGAATTGGGAGGCAGGGAGAAAAAGAAAAAAGAAAAGCCTAAATATTCCCTTGAAAATACAGGGAACCAGGAGTCTTGTGTGTCTTCTCGATATCTGGAAAATTGTTATGCGTTTCTTTTCTTTAATCTCTCATCCACTCCTCCAGGATTTGGTTGGTTCATTTGGGCTTGTACTGTGAACCTGGGATGACACTAAGTGTTCCAGACTCCATGCCATTTCTCTTGTACCCAGTTGTGGGGTCAGAGTGGGGTTTCTGTCAGTGGCAGCCAGCAGGAAAGGGGGCTGAGGACACACCTTTCTTTGGTGTGTAAACAGTCTGAGTGTCACTGTGTACGTGTCCCTAAGTGGAGGTTTCCTGTGGTGATGAGGCTGCGCTCTGCTCCCGACCTGGGTGCTGGGCTCTCCTCACCCCTGCAGCCTCGCTTCTCCTGGCAGGAGGGGGATGGCTGTCATCACTCAAGTGTGCATGGTTCGAGGTTGAACACGCGGCTGCCACGCGCTTGAATGGGCGTCAGCAGATCTGTGAGCATGCCTGTGGGGATGTGAAGGGGGGGTACCCACACCACACGCCACCTATAATCAGTCTGGAGTTTAAAGAAATTCCATTTGAGGTGAGAGTTTAAGGTTGGGGGCTGGGGAAGGCAAACGGGCGCTGTAACATAAACTTTTCTCTAAAGAAAACAAAGTTTCCTATTCTGGAGTTATGTTGTGGCTGCCCCTGGGTTCTCAAAGTAATGGAAACAGATTGTGACTGATAAACAGTGCGAAATAATGAGCTCTTCCCTTAACCCTCCCTTAGAGATGAGAAGCTAGCGGCTCTACCCAGCGGGCCTGGGGTCAGCTCAGGGCAACTGCCTCCGCTCCACTCCGGTAGACCGGGGGTGCAGTGGGGAGGCCCAGGACACTGCTACAGCTCATGTGGAACTCTCTCCACTCTGGAGGAGCTGTGGGTCAGAGCAGAGATGTTTGGGAGGTGGTCAGGGAAATGGCTGGGGCTGGGGGCCACTTACCTGTGCACACCATTTCCTGCCGCTGCCATTTGCATTCCTCAGACCTTCGGGGAGAGGGAAAGCAGTCTGAGAGGGCTGCTTTCAGAGCAGGCGGTGCTGTGCGGCCTCCTTTCACGCAGAGCCAGAGGCAGTTGGCTTAGCGGAAGGAGGTGGTGGTGGTGGTGGGGGGGGCTGCTGGAGCAGAGATCCAGGCACAGCCTCAAGCAGGAGCTGACGGAGCTTCTGGCCGGGATCCTGGGAAGGGCCAAGGTATTCCTGGGAAAACTCCTGAGTGAAGTATCCTAGCTGGCCCAGCAGAATTTGTGGGATGAGAAAACAGCTGAACCCGGCCGAGCCTGCTCTGCCCCCCCCACCCCCTTTTGTGAACCCTGTTCTGGGAGGTGTGTTTGCACAGTGATGCTGACATAAAGCCGGCGGATGCC